CGTTTGAAATGCGAGCGCAAAGGAGCAGAGACCGAGGAGAAACGCGAGCGGAGAAGAATGGTGTCGCTACTTTACGAAGTTGTAGGTCCACCGCCCCACCACCAGCCGCCTGAGGTCCACCTGTACCTGGACGGGGTAACCAAGCACCGAACGCCTGCTGCAGCACTGCAACAGGCCGCCGTTTCCAAGCTCCAGCAGCAACTGGCAGGGCGGCTCCAGGTCTTCACTGACGGATCCGTCATGCCAGACAGTTCAGCGGCGGCTGACTGCGTCATCCCATCCCGGGCCATCAGCAGGGCCGTGCCGACTACCCTTCCCGGCGAGCTCGACGGCCGCGGAGCTGGTAGGGCTACACCTGGGTGGCGGACCTGCTGGCCGAGGACGTTCCGGCGGAACCAGTCACAGTCCTGTGTGACAGCAAGGCAGCCCTACAGACGTTGGTCAACCATCACCGTGCCGGGCTCACGGGGAGTCTCCTGGCAACCAAGTACCGAGCCCTTGCAGCAGCCGGGACGTCGGTCTCCTTCCACTGGCTGCCCTCTCACGTGGGCATAGCTGGACGAGGAGGTGGACACGCTGGCCAGGGCAGCACACCAGCCGGGAATCCCCATCACCCAAGCCGTGGTGGTGAGAGACTACACGCAGGCCCGTATCAAGAAGCACCTCGCCTCGGTTCACCCAGACCAGAGGGTGGCCAATGGGCGAGGACCCAGGCGTCTTCCCGAGGCAGGCCTTACCAGGAGAGAACAAGCCAATCTGCTGCGGCTGCGGATTGGATGCGTGTGGACCGCGGCCCACCGCTACTTCAAGGGATGCTGCGCCTCCCCAGCCTCCAGCCGCTGCGGCGACCCCGAGACCCTCGAGCACCTCATCTGTGCCTCCCTGCCTTGACCCAGGAACGCTCGAGGGTAACCGCAGCCTACCAGAGACATGGCCTTCCTGCCACCACCCTGGAACACCTGCTGTTGCTATCTCGTCCCCATCTACCAGCGCTCCAGAGCCTGGTGGAGTTCTTGGACGAGACGGTAATTGTGGCCTACCGCTGAGGACGGGCCCCCTGTCACCCCTACCCTTGCTTCTGGACTGCTGCTCGTGCTGATGACGACCGTGCCACTGATCACTTAATCTTTTCTCTTCTTTCCACTTTTCTTCCTTTTCCCTTCCCCGCGGGCACTGCGCCGTGCTCCCGAACGGGTTGCAGAAATTAGGTGCCTTTTCTCATCTAACCACTACCACCACCACCACCAAGTTCTAGGGGTTTTAGGGTACCTCTAGTTTTACCAAAAACCAAGTTCAACTACCGCTACCTAGCGTGTGCAGCTCTTGGTCACGTCAGCACACAGAACTGTGACACACTTCCGCATGGTCCACACCAAGAATTACTTTCCAATAGAAAACCGGTCCGCAGTGTCGCCAAGTCGCCAAACACAAAACTTTCAAAGTGTGCACTACGGCAAGCAGCCGCCGAGAAGTATAAACTGCGGGAACAAACATGGCAAAGAAAAAAATGGTGGACATGACGTCATCATAACTTGTTTTATGGACTGCAGCGAGTTGACGGGAGGGATGTAGGGGGTCCCCTTTGAAGGTATCAATGGCACGACGGAAGCGAGGGCTCACGTTAACTTCAAAATTAATTTAAAATACGTTCTCAGCTGTATTCGTTCTTGGTGTTTCGCGGATGATACACGAATGTTCACGGGAATCAACCCCACAGGCTATGTATTTCGGCCGCAAAACTTTTTGTCAGTACCCCTTCAAGATTGCTCCACCGCGGTGGTCTAGTCCCAAAGGTACTCGGTTGCTGGCCCACAGATCGCGGGATCGAATCATGGCTGCAGCAGCTGCATTTCCGATGGAGGCGGAAATGTTGTAGGCCCATGTGATCAGATTTGGGTGCACGTTGAATAACCCTAGGTGGTCGAAATTTCCGCGGAGCCCTCCACTACGGCGTCACTCATAATCATATGATGGTTTTGGGACGTCAAACCCCACATATAAATCAAAACAAAACCCTTTCAAGATTACGCGCACTACGCGAACATTACAATTATTCTGGAACCTACGTGGCCGCTAGCGATAACACTAGAAAGAGCACATGTAAAAATGCCGACGCGCTTCACCGCTTATGAGTTGATCGACCGCCGGCGCTCTGTTCGTCACTGTTCGTCAGTGCCAGTGTGTACCGCTGTAATCCGACTTTACATTCGCCGTTTACAGGTTTGTCCAAATAAACAGTTTTATCTTCGACCTTCAGTCTACTCCATTCGCCGACGTCACGACCCCGTGACAATATCATGTCTGTGCATTCGTAGTGTGCCTATTGTGCGCGCATATACCTGCTTTGAATACAAACTATACTGCCAACACGAACGATTAAGCGAGCGTTCGGAAGCGCACTACCTTATTCATAAAAAACTCCGTAACACTCACGAACGAAAAAAAAACGGCAGATCCTACGTACACAGGGAATCTATGATATGCGAAGCACGAATGAGGAAGGTTGATATGTCACTATAAAATCAGCACAACGTTAGGAGGATGAGGTAAATTATGCGGTACATGACTTACGTGTCATAACTATCATGTTTGGATGTGTCGTTTACCTTCGTGATCTATTCACGTCAAGTGTTACCAAATTTAGTATATGTGGAGCTAGCGAAACGGCTGCGAGAACGCTATGAGCGTGGTATGTTGTAATTTTCTTAAATGGCATGCTTGTCAACATTATCTTGTTTGCACTAGTCATATATGTCGTCATTAATTGGCGTCACGTAACACTGAATTTGGTAAATATAGAGCTAGCAAAACGGCCGCGAGCGCATCATGAAGGGCCCGATATACTCCAATGTAGCGTTGACGCGCACGCGAATGGGCAGAGCAACACTACGTTAACGCCAGGCTCGACCGGCGGAACCAGCGTCCGTCGGCGCGGTCCGACGGCAACCAGCGCGAAATGCGATGTGCTGCATTTCGCACCGATGCGTTACCCAGACAGCACTGCGTCTCCCTTTTTTTCGAGACGGAGGGGCACCAGACGCGCTAAAACGCGCATGCGTCAAAGCAACGTAGCGCGGCGCGCCTGCGAGTATACGGCAGGACCGGCGGCGTTACGCGACGAAATGAATGCCGGGGAGCACGCGCACTGCGTCACGTCGAAATGAATTGGCGCGTTGACTGTGGTATGTAGTCATGTTCTCATATGAAACGTATCTCATGATTGTCATGTTTGCACCAGCCACGTACCTTCATCATCCATTGACGTCACGTAATAGAAAATTTGGCATATGTGAAACTAGCGAAACGGCCACAAGCGCATCATGAGTGTGCCATGTAGTCATGTTGTTACATGACACGCATGTCATGATTCTCATGTTTGGATGTGTCATTTACTTATGTGGTCCGTTCGCGTTGCGTAATGCCGAGTTTGGTACATGTAAAGCTAGCGAAACGGCCGCCAGCGCATCATAAGTGGGGCATGTAGTCATGTTGTTACGTGACACGCATCTCATGATTTTCATTTCAGGATCGGTTGCTTGTGTTCGGCATCCAATCATGCCATACTGTAGACATTTTGCAACATGCCATGTGAACGAAACCACCGCAAGAGCTGCAGGACCATGAAATGTAAATCATGGCAATAATGACATACATGTCATGATTTCCATGTTATGTCTAGTCAAACATGTTCTTCATAGTCATGTTATGCCAAGTTTGGTATCGATACCATTATCGAAACGGCCACGAGAGCTAAAAGTCATAGGCGGCTAGATAGATAGATAGATAGATAGATAGATAGATAGATAGATAGATAGATAGATAGATAGATAGATAGATAGATAGATAGATAGATAGATAGATAGATAGATAGATAGATAGATAGATAGATAGATAGATAGATAGATAGATAGATAGATAGATAGATAGATAGATAGATAGAGACGCTCTAAGTCACTGAAGTTCGCTAAGAAATCCTTCGCATTTAAAAAAGGAGCACTCCTATTGCAATCGAGAGTAGTATTTGCTTCATCGCAAGATATGCTGGCCCAGGTATAGCTCTGTTTTATATAAAAGTGAACGGCATGCGTATTTAGCTTTTCACGCGAAAACAGAACTCAATAAAATACATGCAATCGGCACCACAAGTTACACCATAGTTACCTCGAAAACTGTTGGGGCCTTGCCTGTAGTAGTGTATATCAACGCAGCGGAAAAGTGCTAGCACCTTTCCGAGAGGCCTGCTGCGCATGAGCAGTTGCTTTCTTCAACCTCGGGCTCGCTAGGCAGGTTCTTCAACTTGAAGTAAATTTATGTGGTTCGCCGATGAGACTTGACGTTTGCGCGCACAGCGCCACGATTTCCGCTGTTTCTCGAGTGAAACCCTTTAGGCCGCTGAGAATGGAGACAGTCCGTGGCCAGTTACTTTACGCCTTTGACGAAGTAACACGCGATCCGACGCCGCAGTCGAGAAACTTCAGCCTAGCTCCAAGCGAAAGTGCCGTGTTGACTCCGTTAAGCGCAGTCATTTTAAATTTTTTACCATTGTTGCCAACACATGGAGTGTTTTCTGGAGCTGCGAATCATGGCCGTATCGCTGACACAGCAAGATATATTGAAAAAAAAAGCTATCTTTACTACATTAGCTGGCATGAATTATCGACAGCAGTATAAATGAAGGCATGGCCACTAAAACCGACTTCATGACAGAGTTCCCTAGCACTCTCTGCATACTCCCTACTTCTGTCGGTATAGTGTAGGTTATTTCGATGAACAGGTTTTTTATACGAATGTTCTCGGTGGGTTTTGCCGTCACCGTCATGTTTCGTATAATGTCCAAATCGGTTACATCGCCCTGCACATTGTGTGTTCTTTCCGTGCCTAAAAGCGCATGAACGCTGGCCAAGAACACGGTTGCAGCATATCTTGCCAGCCATCTCCGTCGCACAGAGGCGCATGCGATAACATTACCCAGTTGAAGTAATGTAGCGGACTCAGGCCAGGACCACAAGAAAAACAAGGTTTATTCCAAAGGCAAACGATTGTCATCTTCATCAGTCCACGAAGAGCTGAGAGGATGCACCGTGCAGGTGCGCCCAGCCGCAGTTCCGCAATTAGCGCGATGCACCTCATACTCTCGGGCCGCTCGGGCGTTTACAAAAATTCTCATTATAAACCGTGTCTTTGACAAATGTGCTGAAATTCAGCCAGCTTGTTTGTGAACCCACATAACACAGATTATGAGCGAAAACTGGGTGTCATGATCTCCTTAAGCTGTTTTTTGTAGAATATGAAGGTGCGGTCTCTTGCCTACACAACTATCAATGTGCGACTAATGTATCAGCAGTGTTTGTTTGCCCAAAAACCCCTCAATAATAGTGGTCTCGAACAAAAACTTTACACACAGCAGCGAAAGCACCAAAGACATAACAGTACCAAAGCACACACACACACACACACACACACACACACACATACACACACACACACACACACACACACAAAGCTACATGGTCATAAAAACTTCCACTTCAATCTTTAATAAACAACACAATAAAGTGCACCTTAACCATGTTGCAAGGAATAGTCAATATTCGCTTGCACTAGAATATTTCAACATTGTCCCAATACAACGACAAAAAGAATCAAAAACACAAAAAACAACATCAATTAGAGCGACATCAATAACTCAATCGATAATTACGAGGTTGAATTTTATAATTACCCCCCAGACATACTTCACTGGGTAAACACATCATTATAGCCAACACGGCTGTTAAATTAGGCCAGCCAAGCTAGCAAAAAAGCAACATATTTGCAACGCCCAAAAAAAAATTCTGAACGTAAAGCACTTCACATACAGGCAGTCCGCAGGAATTGTGTCACGTGAGCTTGGAGTAGATAGACGGAGCAGCTTTACGATGAAGGTACTTCAGAACGTAGAGCGGTAAACAGCTCACCAACGTGATCACCGTAACTTTCCACAGAAATGCAGGTGTTCGAATGAATTGGGTATCTAAAAAGAAAGAAACTTTATACAATAACTGCACCACTGTGTAAGTAAAAGTAAGAAAGACAGCACCAGCCAGGCCTCATGGTATTGTTGAAGTTCATTATATTGAGCACAGACACAGCTAATAATCAGTTATACCAAACTAAATATGAACGTTGGCTGTTTATGTATAAAGAAACTAAAAAAACACATGAGCTGCCGCCGCATCAGCTGAAACAAAGAAATAGTTGGTTCACACGAGGCCCAAAACTCATAGGGAAACATAAAAAGAAACAGATATAATGAAAAGTAATTAACAACCACATTTTCTTTAATTGTTTGAAGACCTCGTGAAAACTCGATCGTCCAAAAAAGTGCATTTGACTGGCTGCACCACTGTATGAACAAAACGGGGACTTTGCTTTAAAAAAATGTTTACAATAGTAGGTTTGAAGCCTTGAATAATGCGTCGTTGTATTGAAGATGTTTGCACAAGCCAGACCGCTTACTCCTTGTGAGATCTGATTTTTATTTCTACCGTTACAACGAATATCAGATAAAACAAACTAATTTGTGACCCCGACGCTACTCTGTTATTATGACCTTTGATTGTAACAAAGGATTGTAAAATACAAAGCAGATCACTCATTGAGGTCGTACTCTGAAAATACCTTCCATCCTGCAAAACATTACACTATATCTTGCATTTTAACAAAGCCCGTGACTTGCCGCAGTCAGCCCGATTTTTGGTGATGTAGCTGATGTTCGCGCCACCTGGAAGCAACAACACAAAACAAAAATAATGTGTTTATTAGTGGGCGTGCGGATCAACAGGTGGCGAGACAATCTGGTCACTCCCAAGAGGGCGGCCAATCACCTGTTCGGATTTGGATACATGGATCCTATAGGGAGTCTCGCAACTCATATGATTGAATCACTTTGTTCCGTGCAAGTTCACAGTAGATACCAGGCTTTGGCAAACTTTCCTTGTCGTAAATTCACTTAGGCGCCAACGAAACACCATGAAACAGACATGTACGATGTTTGTTTGCATCGGTATGTCGCCGCAGGATTCAGTTTCCAGGCGAAGCGCAGCGCAGCGTCACCGATGTTCGCTGCAATCTCTCTTCACTGGCTCACGGCTCACAACAAACACATGCGGCACAAATTGTGTATCGTAAGCTCACAATAACATTTCAGCGTGACAGACCACCGCACATAATTCGAATTCACTCTGACGGAGGAAGACGCATACAGGCAACGGGACTCGTCCCAGTTCGAAGCGAGGGCGGCCATGTTAGGCATGTTATCCGTCGGCTGGGTCCGCAGCTAAAGTGTAGTCGGGCTCATGACGTCACATAAAGTGCGCGTCTATCGTGGAGGCTCGTGTACAGCCGCCTCTGAGGGAAAACGCCGCTGCCTTTTTAAGTTGTACACGACTATAGTCCGTATTCTTTCCAGTATAGCAAATGAGTTCTGCGGACATCGGAATACTGTATACTGTAGTGGTCACTGCTATTTTTCATGGGAAATAATATTAGCCATAACTATATTTGTAACACAAAAAGAACTCACCCTATTATCAAAATGTAAAAGAGGCAGATGTGCGAATGTAGCACTAAATCTTTCTTTGCCACTTTCGACATTATACTGATTGCCTGCTCATTTGTTCATGTTAATAAATAAAGCCCGCGAAATCTGATATTTGACACATGACCAGACGGCTGCGTGCAATATCTCACATCAGAAAGCAACTCCCTCAAACAGGCTCACTTTGAAAAAAGCCAGTATCCCTGAAAGAATTATAGAAAGGAGAAGTATCACAGCTTTGCCGCAAAGGCGAAGCAATGGACGCAATAGCAACACTTAGGAATTTCACGCGCAGAACGGCAAGAATTGAAACGTGCCGCGCGCTTCTTACGCACAAATTACGGACGAAACGTACTCACAGGCACAGATGAACGCGAGTAAGCGTCTCAGTTGTTACTTTGCAGTGTCTGAAAAGCACGCTCTTTTCGCTAACGGAGCCGTGCAACGATTGCAGTGACCTTTGTGTGCCAATAACTACAGCAGAATCGCTCCGGTGAAAGCCATAGGCCAACCAAGACGTACGATTCACCCCACTACGAGATGAGGGCACGCGAACGAGCGTCTATTCCTCCTCTCCACGAGGCAAAATATGCATGGGAGATGAGAGCGCGCGCCGCCGCGTCATGACGACGTGGTGACGCGCGCTCATTGTGCCTTCTTGCTGGTAATGCTGAAAACACGATTGTCCCCCCCCCCCTGAGATGCCCGTCACCTGTGGTAAGTGGTAGATATAACTAGCTTGCCGTCAGAACGTTGAACGACGTGCACACTGCTCAGTTGCTAACACCTCATACTCGCGTTTCAGAGGTCCCACGTTCGGTTCGGCGCACTGGTGTCTTGTTATGAATATTTTTCTTTCTTGCGATACATATATATATATATATATATATATATATATATATATATATATATATATATATATATATATATATATATATATATATATATATATATATATGCGTATACAGATACGGTGAGTGACGGCGACGTCCGTGTAGGCGTTGACGCCGGCGGCGAAATTCAGCCGCGAGTGTCGATTTAATTGATATCGCAATAAAAAATACGAATTGCGCTATTCGCCAGTTTCCGTCCAAAGAAACCCGCTGATTTGAGCGTACACATCCAGGCTTTATACAGAACAGTAGTCTGGTCGCGTTAATATCTAGAACAGCTGGCCGTGAGATATGGATAATGATAAATACGCACAATCAAGCAAAAGAAAGCCCTGTAAATTTGCGAACCATGTTGTTGGCATCCGACCAGTACCCTCGCCAAAGTACGGAATGCAGTCTCTGCCAAAGGAGAATTCAAAGCGGCTTCTTGCATTAGGCTTATTTAAAGTCACTCCTTTCCTATGCACGTGAGAGTGCAGCCATGTGTTACTTTTTATATTTCGTGGGCTGTCTTTATTAACAGAAAAAAATGAGCACGCAAATAGTACGTTGTTGGAAGTAGCACAGACAGATGTAGTTTTAACATGCACCTATCTGCCTCTTTGACATTTCGATAACTATGCAAGCACGTTTGAGCTGCAAGTACTATTAAAAATAATATTGCCATTCACAAAAATAGTAGTGGCTACTAAAGTATACTGGGAACAATATGCACTAGGTTTTGGTCCGTGCAACGCTGTTCCTGTTTTTTTAATCGCTCTTCGTGATAACTTGGACACCCTGAGTACGAACAGACTGCTCCGCCGTGGTGGTCTAGTGGCTAAGGTACTCGACTGCTTACCCGCAAGTCGCGGGATCAAATCACGTTTGCAGAGGCTGCATTTTCGATTGAGGTGAAAACGCTGCAGGCCCGTGCGCTCAGATTTAAGTGCACAATAAAGAACTCTATAAGGGATCAAAATTTCCGAAGCCCCCAGCTATGGCGTCTCTCATAATCATATGGTGGTTTTGAAACGCCGAACCTCACATATCAATCAATCAAGCGTATACTAACAGACTGCAAAGTAAAAAAAACGAGAATAAAGTTCCATCACGGGACTTCGAAGCAGCACTTTCTTCCTATCCAGTGCACTGCGTTAGCTACAAGGCCACGTACTTTTATTCATGGTGCTTAATTAAGTATTTGGGTAATAAATACAAAATTAAGCAAACAAAAGTACAATCACATCACTATAATAAGTGTTCAAGTGGTAATAATAAACACTCAATGGCTAACACAGCGTGAGTTCTTCACATTGAGAGTTCTTCATATTGTGTTATACAGACAAGACAGGGGTCAGGTGGAACACCTCACCAAGATGGAGTACCAGTCCGATATAAAGTCTAGGACGTCGTAAATGTCTTTAGGTGAATAGCCATCCTGCGCTACCGGGAAGCTATTTAAATTCACCAAATAACGTTTGACGGTCCTCAGAGCTTCGCAACTTCAGTGCGTTTTCGTCATCAGTAGCGAGATGGCGGGAATGGCTCGCGATGGGCGTGCTGTGAAGGTCATATATCCTTTTGCGTTTTGATGAGTGTGGCCTTCCATAAAGCATGGTCTCTTCTCCACGCGCTTATCAGACTCGGGATGCAAGAGAGCACGAAGGTGGCTTCGCTCGCTGCCGCAGGCACGTTTACCAAAGGAGCACCCTGCCCGCACATGAAGCTGTCATAATTGTGACAGCTGTTCGCGCTTGTCCTGTGCGTCTGTTTCGCGCGTCTTTGTTCCTGTTTGAACAGCATGATCTTAGTGTCAAGTTGTGACAGTTAATTGTTAGTCCGCTCTCATTTTAAGCTGCTGGCCGCTTTTAGCGTTACTTTGTAATTTCCTCTGGTAGCATTCATCTCTTTGCCCTTGTGGTGAAACAATGCACAAAAATGCTTAATTGCCTCTATGTAGACAGGTTTCACTTTTATCTTCAAACATTTTCTAGAAAGAGGGATAAGCCCCGTTTATTTTTCGTGTGGCATACCAACCACAAAATGCACACTTCGCCACGTTTGCTTGGCCGGCTCCGACTTCAAATCAGAGGTCCCCCCCCCCCCAAAAAAAAAAAAAATTAACCCCTATCTGACCTATTAATGTTTAAAGTGCAAAAAATATACCGTTGACAAACTTTTCGCTCTTAGGAAAAAGACGAAATTCCATCCCCATTTTATTCAATTTCTATGCTTCGGGGGGACGCCACAATGCTCAGCCTTATCTCCGACTTTCATATGCCTCAACATGATTGGTTTTTCTCAAAAACTCTACGAAGTCGATGTCATTAATCATACAATCTATGCAGACGACATCATTGTATGGTGTAGTGGAGGCAGCGATAGACGAATGCAGGATCTTCTTCAAGAAACTATTGATGAGGCTATTGAGGACCTTAAACCGACTGGTCTTCGATGCCCGTCGTGGAAATACAATTTGCTTATGTACAGGCCCAAGTGCAGGTACCCCAAACCGAGAAAGCTGAAGCCAATAGAGGGTCACTCTTAGCACAGGTGAGG